AGGCTCAGTGGCCATGGCTCACAGGCCTAGCTTCTCCGCAGCATGTGGGATCTTCCCTGACCGGGGCACGAACCCGTGTGCCCTGCATCGGCAGGCAGACTCTCAACCACTGCGCCACCAGGGAAGCCCTATCCCATTGTTTTAACTGTCATTTTGTGCTTATAGATGTGGTTAAACATTTTCACATATTTACTGAATGCTTAGATTTTATTTTTGTATATTGACTATACATATACTTTGCCCATTTCTCTATTGGAATTTTGCCTTTTTCTTAATGATTTATAGTAATTCATCACATTAAAACTTGCTTTTATTTTTTTACTCCGCATATGTATCTCACTAATATATCTTAGTCAGTTCATAGTGATCTGTTAAATTTTTTTCTTTCTTTTTTTTTTTTTGGTAATGTCTACAATTGTACCCACTATAACTTATTTAAATATTTCCCTTTTGATAGGTATTTTGTTTATCTTCCGGATTTTGTTTTTGTTTTTTTTTTGTGGTGTTACTGCACCACATTGACTACCACAGCCATTAATCTTGCTCACTGAATAGTTCTGGATCCTGGTGTTTGACTTCCTGTGTTGTCATATATCCAGTCCTGGCAGAGCATTTAATTTCCAGTGTGAGAGCCTCCAGAGTCTTCTTTTCTCCTACTTCTTCAATCAGCAATGTTCCAGATGGTTAGTGCTTTGTCAGGGTCCTGGAGTGAGAACGATCAAGGCCTTTCTCCCCACTCTCCAGACATCCACATTAGACATATAACATGAAAGAAAAATAAACATGTTTTGATCACAAATCACTAATATTTTGTGGTTGTTTGTCATGGCATAACCCAGACTCTCTTGATGGCCACCTATTTCTTATACTCAGTAGTTAAGAAACTTTTTTTTTTTTAAAGGAAATAAGTTCATTTTTTCATAGAATTCTACGAGTCAAACAACCTTTAGAGGTCAGCTATTTCAATCCTCTGCCTACTAAATCATTTCCTAAACTATGAGCTCTAGAACCATGACAAATGGGTTAACAGCAAATTCCTTGGTCTTTAGTTTGTGGAACCCCACTCCTTTTATTGATCTTTTCATGAGTTGATGGACACTTCGATTATTTTTTCCACTTATTGGCTAATATGAATAATGCTATGAACATCCACGTACAAGTTTTTGTGTGGACATGTTTCCACTTCTCTTGGGTATACATACCTAGAAGTATGTATGAGTTGCTGAGTCATATGAAAACTCATTAACTTTTTGAGACCTGCCAAACTGCTTTCCAAAGTGGTTACATGATTTTACATTCCCACTGGCAATGTATGAAGGTTCAAATTTCTCCATGTCCTCACCAACACTTGTCATTGTCCATCATCTTTTTAACCATAGCCATCCTAGTGGGTGTGAAGTATCTCATGTGCTTTTGATTTGTATTTCCCTAGTGACTAATGATGTTGAGTACCTTTTCACTTACTTACTGGCCATTTGTATGTCTCCTTTGGAGAAATATCTGTTAAAATGCATTGCCTATTTTTAATCGAGTTGTCTTTTTATTATTGAATTTTAAGAGTCTTTATATATTCTTGATACAAACCCCTATTTTCTCCCTTTCTGTAAATTGTCTTTTCACTGTCTTGATGATCTTCGAGTCACAAAAGTTTTAAATTTTGATGAAGTCTGACTTATCTAATTTTTCTTTTTTTCAATTTTGTTTTGGATGTCATATCTATTGCCTAACCCATGGTCACGAAGATTTGCTTTTACATTTTCTTTTAGGAGTATTATATTTTTAGCCCTGCATTTAAATCTATAATCAGTTTTGAATTAATTTTTATGTATGATGTTAAAAGGGTCTATTATTTTGCATGTGAATACCCAGTTGTCCCAGCACCATTTGTTGAAAAGGCTCTCTTCCCTTTCTTAAAACTGAAAATAGTTTTTTCCTGTTTATAGGTTTCTAGCACATTTCCTGAAAAGCTCAGCAGTTCTTCAAACCTCCCTGGCATTGGCTCATCTAAGTTATTCACAGGTTATTTTAGTATTCTCTGGGTTGTAAATGGCTTAAGGTCAAAAGATTTAATGTGCCTCCGAGGGGCTAGTTACTCTTATAATACCACTTTTTTAATTGTGGTTTTTACCTCCTCATCCATGGTCTTCTATCATTTTCAATCTGAGAAACTTTTCCTGAAGTTTCTGAAACGAAACTGAACGAAACGAAAGGGGCAAAACATAGCTGAATGGATTTTCAGTCTCTCTTCTGTTAATTTATACCATTGACTCCAATACATTTAACCCCTCCTTTTTGTCCTCTTGTACCTAACAAAGCTCTTTTGTCATCCTTAGGCTCTCCCTCAGCTTTCAGTTCATTGTAGACTTTATATTTTCTGTAAATCAATGATTCATCTATTAAAAATGGAAATATAATTTTTTGTCTAGTCAGCTCCTACCATATCCCATGGCACTAACTTATCAATACAGAACATAATTCCAATTTGAAATTTTTGATGTGAAAGAAATTAGTATAATCCATGCTTTTTTCCTTAAATTTTTATTTTGAAAAGTTTCAAACTTAGATAAAAATTTTAAAAAATATATAATGAGCACCTGACCCTCCAATCAGGTTCACCCATTTTAAACATTCTGCCACATTTACCTTCTCCCTCTCTTTCATATATATATATATATATATATATATACACATACATACATATATATAATAATAAGTTGTAGACACAACTCTTCAGCCATAAATGTTTGACATAAAATTTCTAACATTAAGGACAATATTATCACATCTAAGAAAATTATAATTCCATTGTACTATCTGATATCTAGTCCATTTAAATTTGTGCTTTTGGCCACAAAAATCTCTCCTCCTTTTCCTTCTCCTTATTCTTTTTAAATCCAGGGTTGCATGTTGTTGTCATGTCTCTTTACTCTCTTTAATCTGGAATAATTTTTTTTTTTTTTAGTTGCATTGGCTCATTTGAACAGCCCAGGCCAGGTTTCTTGTAGAAGATGCCACATTCTAGATTTATTTGCCTGTTTCCTTATGTTTTACTTGTTCCAACATCTCCTACATATCTCAGCCTTGGCACTCCTGACATCTTGGATCAGGTGGCTATCTTGTTCATTGCAGGATGTTTAATAGATTCCCCCTCCCACCAGGTTGTGACAACCAAAATGTCTCCACACATGCCAAATGTGCCCAGGAAATGGGGGTGGGGTAGGGATCCACTTATTGGTTGTGAACTACTGTCTAGAAGCTTGCTTAAATTCAGGTTAAACAATTTTGGAAAGAATATTTCTCAGATGACGTGTATTTCTAATTGCATTATATCACTAAGCACATAATATCAGATTGTGCCATTAGTGATTCTAGCCTTGATCGCTTATTTAAGGCAATGATTATTTTTCTTTAAAGTAAAGGTATGTTTTTCCCTTTTGTAAGAAGTAAGTTATGGCTTGATACTTTGAGACCATGTGAAGATTCTATACTCCTACAATCTTTCACCCAGTGCCTTTTAGCATCCTCTGATGGACTCTGGCTGAATCAATTGAGATTTACTTGGAATATGGTGATTTTCTAATTCTATTATTTGTTCTATGTTTATTCTCTGGTATTTCTTTGAAAGAAAAGTTTCATCCCCCCTCCTTTTATTTATTTTTACTGGCACTCTGAATTCTTGCATTTTCCTTATCCTTTTTTAAAAATTCAACTATTGTAATTATTCTTTTTGATGCTCATATTATCCCAAATTCCTCCAGTGGGAATCTTTGACCCATTCTTTAAAGCATTTCTTGAAGTAAGGGAATTTAGTGTTTTGTGGAGCATTTTATGAAAGTTATTTTAAGTACCACACAATGGTAAACTCTTACTGTACACACTGCATATGAGACCAAATGTGTAAAGCCTTCACATTTAACCAGCAAAGAATTTTGATGATTGGGACATTTTTTTTTTTTTTTTTTTTCGGTATGCGGGCCTCTCACTGTTGTGGCCTCTCCCATTGCGGAGCACAGGCTCCGGATGCGCAGGCTCAGCGGCCATGACTCACGGGCCCCGCCGCTCCGCGGCATGTGGGATCTTCCTGGACCGGGGCACGAACCCGTGTCCCCTGCATCGGCAGGCGTACTCTCAACCACTGCGCCACCAGGGAAGCCCTGGGACAGCATATTACTTTCATAGTTAACAAGTTACACTAGTTGAAAAATGCAATTGGTAAGAGAAAATTCTACAACCAATAAAATTATTAGCAATTTAATTTTGAGTCATCTATTTAGCTTCAGAATGGTAAATCTTTTCCTGACTCCTGGATATTTTGAATGGTGCCTATAAATTTAAATACACATGTAGTATATCTATGGACTAAACACTGTATACTACTGCAAAATGTAGAGGCAAAGATATAGTTATTTCTGATTCTAAAACTGCTTGGAAACATGTTTCATTAAAATCAGGATCTAAGCAACGTGCTTGGACACACATTTCAGTAGCATCACTGCTAACTAAGCAAAGCATCGTGAAATAAATTTGCATTAAGGAATTTAACTCCGCCCAGTGTAATTATCCTCTTCCTTACTGTCAGTTTCCTCCCCAGTCCCAGGAGCGGCTCTGCCCAATTCCGCAGTCTCTGCTCTAAGTCCACGTTGATGAGGCAGCCCCTGCTATAGGGTTGAAGGTTTTAACAGTCTCCCCAAACGACTTGCCACGTGCGACCAGAGCCACTCGATAGAATGTTTCTCGCCAGCAGCCACAAGACTGGAAAACCGTGGAGGGTGGAGCAAACTCTCAGTGAGCGTCTCCCGGGCCCAGCGCCCCTTCCGCCTGTTCCTCCGATTGGCTGGCGTGAGTCTCGGCCGCCCAATCGCGCTGGAGTGTTTCCTGCGCGGCTTGCGGCGCCGCCGCGCATGCCCACTCGAGAGCCGCCCCTCCGCTTCAGTCCCCGGGAGAGCCACAGAAGGGCACCGGCAAGCGGCGGGTGGGAACTGGGCCTGGCAGTGCCCGTGCCAATATCAGAGGGCCGTACCGGGACCTGGATGGGACCAGTGGGAGAACGACAGGAAAAACAAGCACCGACAGAACTACCCGATTTTCCCATATTCCTTAAGTGCAGGTTTTCCCTGGGTTGACCTATTCATTTTTATTGTAGTTTGGGAGTTGGACAGTCCGATTTAGCTGTGGGGAGTCGAAAAAATCCGATTATATTTCTTTTCTTTGTGTCCGGGCAGATCGAAAAAGGGAGCAAATGGAGCGAATCTTAATAAGAAAGTAAACTTTTCTCCTGTGTAGAGTGGACTGGGAACACCCTTCCTTTGACTTTCCCTGTACGAAATGTGGCCTTATTAGCGCTTAACTGGAAGCGCTTTTCCGCCACCGCCCGAGCGTTTCAGCTCTAGCGCTTTCCTGCCCTCTCGGAGGTGGCCGCCTGTGGGCGCTGGAAACGCTGCCTTACTTTCTGCTGTACAAAGAACCGCCCCACTAGTTTCCACGGTGTGCAACTCAGAAAAGTGACCCCGAACGAAAAGCAACCGGCCTTCGGCGGAGAGGCCGTGCCTTGCTCCTTACCGACAAACTGGCCCCGACCTGCAGGCCCCGGCCTGTCCTAAGCGAATCGCCGCTGTCGGCGCGCCGCAACCTCACAGCCTCACGCCAGGCCGGGCCCTGCGGCCGCTTGGAAAAGGCGGCGAGCGGAACCCGCACGCGGAAGCGCCGGGCGCACTGAGCATGCCCAGTTGCAGAGCCGACCAGAGGAGTTTTTTTCTTTTCTTTCTTTTTTCTTTTTCTTTTCTTTCTTTTTTTTTTTTTGGTCTCAAGCAGCAGGCCTTCTCCCCACCCCCACCCGAGCCCCCCCACCACCCCCGGCCTAAGCAGCTACCATGGCCGAGGTCCCCGGCTCGGTGTTGTCCCAGGCGGGTTGGTAAGTGGCGAGTATAATCGGCCGCGGGCGCGGGCCGGGCCGGAGTAGGGTTGGGGTTGGGGCGGTGGGGTGCGTGTCGGGGTAGGCGGAGGCCGCCGCCCGCCCCCGGCCTCTCCCCGGGCCCGTCCGGGCCGGCTCCGCCCCCGGCGCCACGCGGAGCCGAGCTAGTCCCCCAGCTCCCCTCGGCGTGGCGGCGCGGCCTGGGCCCCGGGAGGCGGGCGGCGCTCCGGGGAGAGGCCGGGGGCCGCGGGCAGGGCGGCGGGGCGGGCGGCGACGCAGGCCCGAGCCGAGCCGCGCGGGCGGAAGCTCAGCGCCACCGCGCCGCTCCGGGGGTTGTTGGCCGCGGCTGGACGAGAGGAGGCGAGGGCTGGAGAACGGAGTGCGGCGGAGAGGGACGAGCACGGCCGGAGCCCGCGGGCCCGCGGGAAGTTGAGGGCACAGCACAGCCCGGGCTGTTGCCGGGCCGCCTCCGTCCTCCTTATTCCAAAGTACAGGACGGAGCAGGGGAAAGCCGCCCTCTGCGGCACACACACAACTTCTGAAGCTGAGAATGACCACATTAACTCGTGTGGATGCTCCATAGAACTTTTCTTGAAAAGATGACGGTGTTCGGATTTTTAAAGACATGTCAAGATTTTAGGATCTGAAAACAATAAAAAAATTATGCGAATTAAGCAGTTTCTGCAACTTCGGCCATTAGGGTTGTAAACATCCAGTTTAATTTACTAACGCTTTAACAGGCCTGCATGGGCACAGTCTGGGATGAAGGGTGGGAAGGAGGTTGAAAAAGATTTGCCCCTGCTCTCTGGAAGTTCACTATCTTAGCGAAAAGAGGGGAAGGAGGCATTAAAACAACAAACACAAAAACGGGAAATTGTGGTAAACTGTACAGAGGTGCAGGTAAATGTGGTATGGAATTGGAGAGGAAGGAGAGTTAATTTCCTGGAGAAGTGGGCTTTGGGAGATGGTGAGGAGAAGGCTTTGTAGATACAGAGCCGCTGGAGATGAGGCACAGAGGTAGGAAAGTGCTTATTGGTTTGCAGAATTGATATTAGATCCCTATGGTTCCTCGAAGTAGAAGGGTGTCCAGTGAAGATTAAGACCTTAAAAGTTTGTGGCCAGGTTGTGGAGCCTACAAGTGCCTAAAGGATGGATTTGATTTTGTGAATGAAATTTTTGATTAGAGGGCTGTAACACCTGTATTATGAAGACGCTGTGCCTGGCTCTACTGGCACCTCATTTTACAGGTGAAGAGATTGAGGCACAAAATTGTTAAGTAACTTTCCAAAAAAAATGACATAACTGGAAAGTGGTGGAGTTGAATGGTGAGCACAGAGGGGCTGGTTCCAGCTCTGGTGCTTTTAACTGTTACTGTTCTGACAGTATTTGCTTTTAACTGTTACTGTTCTGACAGTTTTTGCTTAGAACACCATTGACATAACAAACTGTAGCGTTAAAAACTCACCTTTATCAGTTTTATTATTGTTCTTCTAACTGGAATTTCTACATTCAGTTTGTTTACCTCACAACGCTATCCTGAAAAATCTCGGATCACTCTTTTTGAGTTTTTCCCCATTCTTCGTTTGATTAACCCTTAGTTCTTCAAACTAGTTGTATGAATTCGTTTACAGTCTTTTACTGCTTTCCAACATGATCCCACCTGTGTTAGAAAGGCCAGTCTCAATATTTTGATTCCAAACACATACTAAATTGTTTTTTGGACTCTAAGATCCTTAAGGGTGGGTAAACTGCATCTTATGTTTCTGTATATCTGTAATGCCAGGGAGCTCACTACCTTGTAGGTTCTTTTTTTTTGAATTTTTGAATTTTATTTTTTTATATAGCAGGTTCTTATGAGTTATCCATTTTATACATATTAGTGTATATATGTCAATCCCAATCTCCCAATTCATCCCACCACCGCACCCCCACCCCTGCCACTTTACCCCCTTGGTGTCCATACGTTTGTTCTCTACATTTGTGTCTCTATTTCTGTCCTGCAAACTGGTTCATCTGTGCCATTTTTCTAGGTTCCACATATATGCGTTAATATACGATATTTGTTTTTCTCTTTCTGACATTTCACTCTGTATGACAGTCTCTAGATCCATCCACGTCTCCACAAATGACCCAGTTTCGTTCCTTTTAATGGCTGAGTAATATTCCATTGTATATATGTACCACGTCTTTATCCATTCATCTGTCGATGGGCATTTAGCTTGCTTCCGTGACCTGGCTATTGTAAATAGTGCTGCAATGAACATTGGGGTGCATGTGTCTTTTTGAATTATGGTTTTCTCTGGGTATATGCCAAGGAGTGGGATTGCTGGGTCATATGGTAATTCTATTTTTAGTGTTTTCAGGAACCTCCATACTGTTCTCCATAGTGGCTGTATCAATTTACATTCCCACCAGCAGTGCAAGAGGGTTCCCTTTTCTCCACACCCTCTCCAGCATTTGTTGTTTGTAGATTTTCTGATGATGCCCATTCTAACTGGTGTGAGGTGATACCTCATTGTAGTTTTGATTTGCATTTCTCTAATAATTAGTGATGTTGAGCAGTTTTTCATGTGCCTCTTGGCCATCTGTATGTTTTCTTTGGAGAAATGTCTATTTTTCTTCCCATTTTTTGATTGGGTTGTTTTTTTTTTTAATATTGAGCTGCAGGTGCTGTTTATATGTTTTGGAGATTAATCCTTTGTCCATTGATTCCTTTGCAAATACTTTCTGCCATTCTGAGGGTTGTCTTTTCATCTTGTTTGTAGTTTCCTTTGCTTTGCAAAAGCTTTTAAGTTTCATTAGGTCCCATTTGTTTATTTTTGTTTTTATTTCCATTACTCTAGGAGGTGGATCAAAAAAGATCTTGCTGTGATTTATGTCGAAGACTGTATAGTGTCCATTTAGTTCTGTAATCCATTTTGAGTTTATTTTTGTGTATGGTGTTAGGGAGTGTTCTGATTTCATTCTTTTACATGTAGCTGCCGAGTTTTCCCAGCAACACTTATTGAAGAGACTGCCTTTTCTCCATTGTATATCCTTGCCTCCTTTGTCATAGATTAGTTGACCATAGGTGCGTGAGTTTATCTCTGGGCTTTCTGTCCTGTTCCATTGATTTATATTTCAGTTTTTCTGCCAGTAACATAGGGTCTTGATTACTGTAGGTTTTGTAGTACAGTCTGAAGTAAGGGAGTCTGATTCCAACAGCTCTGTTTTTTTCCCATAAGACTGCTTTGGCTATTCAGGGTCATTTGTGTCTCCATACAAATTTTAAGATTTTTTTGTTCTAGTTCCGTAAAAAATGCCATTGGAAATTTGATAGGGATTGCAATGAATCTGTAGATTGCTTTGGGTAGTATAGTCATTTTCACAATATTGATTCTTCCAATCCAGGAACATGGTATATCTCTCCATCTGTTGGTATCATCATTAATCTCTTTCATCAGTGTCTTATAGTTTTTTGCATACAGGTCTCTTGTCTCCCTAGGTAGGTTTATTCTTAGGTATTTTATTCTTGCAATGGTAAGTGGGAGTATTTCCTTAATTTCTCTTTCAGATTTTTCATCATTAGTGTATAGGAATGCAAGAGATTTCTGTGAATTAATTTTGTATCCTGCAACTTTACCAAATTCATTGTTTAGCTCTAGTAGTTTTCTGGTGGCATCTTTAGGATTCTGTATGTATAGTATCATGTCATCTGCAAACAGTGACAGTTTTACTTCTTTTCTTCCAATTTGTATTCCTTTTATTTCTTTTTCTTCTCTGATTGCCATGGCTAGGACTTCCAAAACTATGTTGAATAAGAGTGGCGAGAGTAGACATCCTTGTCTTGTTCCTGATCTTAGGCAAAATGGTTTCAGTTTTTCACCATTGAGAATGTTGTTTGCGGTGGGTTTGTCACACATGGCCTTTATTATGTTGAGGTAGGTTCCCTCTATGCCCACGTTCTGGAGAGTTTTTTTTTGTCATAAATGGGTGTCGAATTTTGTCAAAAGCATTTTCTGCATCTATTGAGATGATCATATGGTTTTTATTCTTCAGTTTGTTTATATGGTGTATCACATTGATTGATTTGCGTATATTGAAGAATCCTTGCATCCCTATGTTAAATCCCACTTGATCATGGTGTATGATCCTTTTAATGTGTTGTTGGATTCTGTTTGCTAGTATTTTGTGGAAGATTTTTGCATCTATATTCATCAGTGATATTGGTTTGTAATTTTCTTTTTTTGTAGTATCTTTGGTTTTGGTATCAGGGTGAGGGTGGCCTCATAGATTGAGTTTGGGAGTGTTCCTTCCTCTGCAGTTTTTTGCAAGAGTTTGAGAAGGATGGGGTTAGCTTTTCTCTAAATGTTTGATAGAATTCACCTGTGAAGCCATCTGTTCCTGGATTTTTGTTTCTTGGGAGATTTTTAATCACAGTTTCAATTTCATTACTTGTGATTGGTCTGTTCATATTTTCTATTTCTTCCTGGTTCAGTCTTGGAAGGTTATACCTTTCTAAGGATTTGTCCATTTCTTCCAGGTTGTCCATTTTATTGGCAAAGAGTTGCTTGTAGTAGTCTCTTAGGATGCTTTGTATTTCTGCAGTGTCCATTGTAACTTCTCCTTTTTCATTTCTAATGTTATTGATTTGAGTCCCCTCCCTCTTTTTCTTGATGAGTCTGGCTAATGGTTTATCAATTTTGTTTACCTTCTCAAAGAACCAGCTTTTAGTTTTATTGATCTTTGCTATTGTCTTCTTTGTTTCTATTTCATTTATTTCTGCTCTGATCTTTATGATTTCTTTCCTTCTACTAATTTTGGATTTTGTTTGTTCTTCTTTCTCTAGTTCCTTTAGGTGTGAGGTTAGATTGCTTATTTTAAATTTTTCTTGTTTCTTGAGGTAGGCTTGTATAGCTATAAACTTCCCTCTTAGATCTGCTTTTGCTGCATCCCATAGGTTTTGGATAGTTGTGTTTTTGTTGTCATTTGTCTCTAGGTATTTTTTTATTTCCTCTTTG